CGCCGTGGTTCCCGCTCGATTGGCGCAGCGGCTGCAGGCGCTCCAGGTCCCATTCCGTCACAGTTGTGGTGTAGCCAATGCTAAAGAGTCGGAGCTTTCCTGGTATGATTTTGCCATCGTGGTCCTCCTCCTCTGGATCCTGGACCCAGGCCAGCCCATCTACGCTGCGGTCCTGGCCGCCGCGCAGGATCGTCTCTTGGAACCAGGCGCCATTTAACGGGTTCCAGATCTCGATGTCGCCGTTGGCTCGTCCTATCGCAAGCCGGAGGGTGTCGGATTTATTTGTTCTGCCGATATGCGAATGAGAGAATGCTACGGCATTGATTGTTGAGGGCGAATATGGCACGAAGCGACAGCGGTGGACGTCCATGGCGCCGATATTACTTGGTACCTCGACAGCAAAAAAGTTCGACAAGAGGCAATGAAGATAAATTCAGGTGATAAACAAAATGGTCCGTGCGCTTGGTCTGTGCGGGGCGAACTTTGGGTGGTGTAGGGTGGTGGGTCCAAGACTTCTAGCGGGGATTTCACCAACACAGTCCGGAGGAGTCCAGAGTCCACATTGTCCCCCACTGTCCAGAGTTCCATTATTGGGGCTTAGACTTTTCAATTTCTACACAATTAAAAGACACGGTCTCAACATACGTCAATAGGCAAATTAATAATTCTTTCAATCTCGAGGGACAAGTATCTCTAGGCCCATCAAAGGATGGCCACGGCGGATGCGTAGCTGACCGACGAGTCCTTGATATCTTTCACGTCGTTGCTGCGCTCATACCGAACAAACTTAAATCGCCCGCCATTTTCCACAGAGATCTTCCCCTCTTGTTCGAGAACCTCTATCGCTGCCATGATAACCCCAATCGGATGACGCCCACATACAGTGTTGCCTGTATCCTTCAGGTTGTCCAGGAAGCCCTGGTGCTTCCCCTGTTCAATGGCGTCCATGGCCACTTTGTCTATCCGGCCTATGCTCTCATGGATCCAAGGGTTCCTAGGCGTCTTATCATGCCGACTGAGGTTGTAGCCATCGGAATTCGCAGAAGGTGATGCCGGGAGGTAGTATGTATACTGGAACCTTTCGCCCCAGTGGCAGAAGTCTGAGCTCACCACGAAGACCGATGTTGGATCAGCGAGGTAAGGAGCAAAAATCTGACCATAACTCCGCTCGGTCGGTCCAGACGTGGCACCGACGAGGACTGGAATGAGCAGAGGGAATTCGTCGGGGGATTTGAATGTATTTTCAAGGACCTTGTAGATATATGGAAGGTGCATCTCGAGGCTGTGCTCAGCTTCCTCGGACTTCGCTTTCCACGCATCAAACTTGGAGGTTGCTTGGAGCTCTTTAATGGTCGACTGGTCTAGCTTGAGCTTGCCCATCGGCGTAGCATAATATTCCTGTGAGGATATCGCACAGCCGGACAAATACATTGTGTGAGATGGGCCGAGGAGGAAGACGCGCTTGACCTTTGAGAGGTCCAGGGACTTATAGGCCCAAGCAGCAGCAGGGCCGGAATATGAGTAGCCGGCGTGACTGGACCTGAATTAGAATGCTCATACTATATGAGAATATGCTAATACTCACGGAGCAATAATCACTCTCGCACCCGGAACAGGTAGCTTGTTGCCATCGATGCTGTCAGGCACCTGAGCCAACCACCCGTCGAGCTCACTCGAGAGCTTCGCCGGGGCTAAGGAATACCAAGAGCCTGCATGGCTTGCAGCTCTGGTAGACATATTTCGCAATAACCTCCTAAATTCTGAGCGTAGTATGATTGTCTGAAGATGATCTTCAACAATATCTCTTATGTGGAGTTACGTATTCGTACGATCTTGGGGTGAGTGGTGCACCACGAGGCTGAGCAAGGCCGATGGGGGACTGTTATCAGCGATAACCGATAACCCCGCGCGGCGCGCCCAGACCCTTTTCCAGTTCTGGTGTTAGCCCAAGTCGCGTCTTCGTCGTCGCAAATGGCACTTTACGCGGTCTGTCTGATCCACGCTTTCCGTCCAGCCACCTCTTTCAAACCTCCTTACACATCAATTCCCAACATCCCATAATAACAAACAAACATTTACAATCAGTATACCGATACATCAATACATCACCTCATATCTTACAATTACTCAATCCCACTCAATCAACAACTCCTCACCCACCCAAAATGCTCCTCAAACGCAAGCGCTCCGACTCCGAGCTCTCCAGCTCCATGTCCCCAAGCCCAACACAATCAGGCGCCATACCATCCACACCCTACATATCCCAATTCGGGCACGAAATCACCCCCCTCCACCTCTCCAGCCGAACCCGAAAGCGCGTCCGCGACAACCGCCCCTCAGAGCACCAGATCCATGGTAAGTTCCCCCCCCTGGCTTCGCGTCGTCGTCGTCGGATTGAAGGAAGCATCCTAACCCCCTGTCCAGAAAATACACTCAACCTCCTCTTCTCGGCCCAAAAACAACAACATCTCCAGCAGCAACAACAAGCCGAACCCACATACCCCCAAGAGCCAACGACACCCATCTCCGCCCCGCCCACGCAGCAGTCCTCGCTCCACTCCTTCTGGGCCCTCCCCGCGCGCCGCGATTCCAGCGCTGACTCCGCCATGCTTTCCGCGCCGGCGTATGGGCAGAATGTGAACTGCGAGGACTGCGATGTTGGGCTTGTTAATAGGGATGGCGAGGCGATGGAGGTGGATGGGGATGTGGATATGTATGGCGGCGGCGGGGGTGGGATGGAGGGGTTTGCGTGCGGGCAGTGTGGGAGGGTGGTTTGTGGGGGGTGTGCGGTGTCGTGTTTGGGGGAGGAGAGGAGGTGTCTTGGTTGTGCGGGACGGAGGAGGTGGGTGGGGGGGTTGGGGTGGGTTAATGTTTGAAGTTTGGGGGGGATGGGGTGTGTAGAGCGGTTTGGGGGCGTGTTTGGGGAGGACAGATACTGGCCTGAGATGGCGGCACTGGGCGTTTTGATAAGAGGGGATTACCATTTTCTATCGACCCTCATATTGGGGGGTCGTTTTGTTTTAATGTTGGTGGAGTTGAAGTCTGGGATATCATATTTCGATGGGGCACGGGTTGTACAGCGTTTGTATCCTGTCGACAAGGGGAGGGTTTTGTATCCTGGTTGGCCAATGGCACGCCCAAGAGTCAGCGGATAAGACTTGCATAGCTGGGTGTTAATATATGTGCTTAAAGCTTATTTGAAGTTCTCGATTTGATCAATTTCTTGGTATTCGTGCTGCCCAAATATGAGGAGGGTCTGGGCATGGCTGAGGTTTGATGCTAGCATTTCAGTTCGTTGGAAGGCCATGATATGAATTATGGCTATGAGTGATTGAAAGCTTATATTTGAAATATGGTTACTATAATCTCTATCACCATGCACAACCATTGTCCGGATTTTAGGTGGTATGAGTAATTAATTTATAAAAATCTCTAACATGAAAATAATATTTCTGGGTGATTAAATCCCCTCGTTTTATTTACCATCACTACGAACACTCGAAGCCATTATAAGACCCAGGGACCATTTTCAGTCGGTCGCCTTTAACATTTTTTAATAACTAAAACCAGTAATAAATATCATCAAATCCATACATCTCATCACAATTCCCATCCTATAATCGTGGCAGGACATAAATTAACACTGCCGCAGAAGCTCTAGAAAGGCCCATAGACATCACGATATCCGCCGACCGAGACCGACACCTGGGGTGTATTAAACAGCATGTGCAGCATCCATGCGCCCAACTTTGTATAGCTGCTAACAACCACATCTGTGCTGTTGAGTCCCTACAAAGAGCATACCGATGAAACAGCAGGATGGCAATATCAGCACGGCGACAATAGCATAACGACAACATACTGATGACGGCAAGACTATGGTGACAACAGGAGCACAATGACCGACAGTGACAGGATACCGACGACAGGACAGGGCCACAGAAGAAGCACATGCGAGAGCACGCAAGCCGGATGGTTGGGATAAGATCTAGCTCCAACGGGGCTTGAGATGGCATTAAACTGATCTTTGCTAGCACTACATATGCTGCTCCCCTAGCCGTATCAATCCCGTCAGAGCTGTATGTAGTCTTAATCTAGATCGTGGTTATGGCCTAAATCCATAGGCCGCCTTCTCGACGTCTTTCTCGGCTTCATCGTCGCCCCCCACACATATCATGGCGTCGGATTGTATGGCAACTAGACAAAGTAATCGTACCGCCCATACCCATCATATCCCTATATCCCCCCACGTAAAAATATAAATAAAATCCCATATCCCCACACCCCTCCATCAACGGTGAGAAAACACATCAAACCCTCCCGCCTCACAGCCGCCGCCGCCCACCCCCTCGCGTCCCGTTTCTATATTTAGCACCCACGCTGCCCTCCCAAAAATACACCCCCTCCAAGCTAACGACGGGATAGCGCGAACCAATGCACGAAACATCCCGAACAAAATCTGCAGCACGCTACGCTACCGTGACAGCGTTAAAGAGACACCGACTGGCTCGCTAGGCGTCAGCTGAACCGCGCGCAAGCCACATGTAGGGGCGGATGCAGCGTACGTACAGATGGATGTCAGCCCGGTATAAGCAATAATAGGGGGATGGGATGGTGAGAAGGATTAGTCCGACGGGGAACGATAAGCCGTGCCGTGCCTGTATTTTGACTGGGTCGTTTTTTTGCTGTGGTTGGGTTGAAACGCTGGGGGGAAGGGGAGGTGAGGGGTGGCTAGAAGGATTTGGAGGGGTTTGATGCGGTGTACGTTCGGGGAGGGGTTGGGATATTTTATTGTTGTAAAAAATGATCAACGGTGAAGATAGGAGTGATTGAAAGTATATATATATATGATAATTCCTGTGCGCTGGTATAAAATGCACAGTAAAATGCACAGTATCATCCCTCATTTTGCGCCCCAGCACAGTAAAATGTTAAGTGTCTCCACGTCTCCACGTCTCCACTGGCAAAAAAATATATTTCCAAAAAAACATAATAAATCCCGTCTTGGGCAGGATTTGAACCTACGCGGCCGAAACCATATGATATCGGATTGAAAGCATTCGAGTCATACCCATTAACCACTCTGGCACCAAGACTATGGGATTGTGGAGAGCGAGTTTCTAGGGCTTCATTATATAGTGTATTGTGTACGGAGTGGACGCACGTGGGGAATATGATATCGGAAAAGCGTCTTGGAGGAAGCTGGAGGGAATATTCTCTCCTTCCTAATACAATATACCACTAGGTATTAATCTTAGTAAAGTCGCGCACAAAATAAATAAATATATCAGTAGGTATTAATCTTAGTTAGTAAAAGTCGCGCACAAAATAAATATCTTCTCTCTCTCTGTAATTACTGAAACTCTACTCCGTGCTGTAAGATTGTAAGAGTAGTATCTCTAACCGTTGTATTCTCTTTACCCTTCTACTTGGCATCATATGCTTGTCTGTACTGCATCGCATGTATTTTAGTAGTCAAGGTACCTGGACCCCGTATCTTACTCGCTTAAATCTGACCTGACCTGACACTGTCTGTTCCCACCCCCCCCACTCCTCCTGTCTCCTGTCTCTCCTGTTTTGTTCTGTGGCGGAAAGGTCTGTGGCCCAGTCAACTAACACTCCCTACCACTCCCCCCACCCCCCCCTGTCGCGTTGGTGGGCAACGTGAAGCACAGCCGCCGCAATTTACTCCATACGCCCCATCCAGCCTTCCTTTGTCCTCGATCTTTCTTGGCCTCACTATTCCACACCTACATCACATTCTTCATCAAAATTACTCGCCATAGCGACATCGATAGTTTCACTCTCCAAAGGACCATCGCTATTTGAATTATTGTCTGGCTGTGCAGTTGAATTGAAAGCTTCACAACAGACAGGCGCTACATCCCTCCCGAGCCCGTCAACAAAGCGTCTAGTTTAGGGGCTCCTGGAACCAAAAATGAGTGTAAGTTCAGCCCCCCTCCCTCCCCCGACCATCAAGTATACCCCTTACTTGTCGCGATATTACCTTCGATGTCACGAGAATTGTAGCTAACGGGTCAATGGCACAGTACAACAAGTCAGTATACATCAATTCCATCGAGGGCGTCAGCATGACATGGCATGGCGTTGTGACACCTGTCGCAAACCAGACTGCAGCGCTCCGAAGCACCGTCTCCCCATACATCGTCGCATCATACTGACTTTCTCTCCTACAGCTATGGCGGCGGGTCGAACCCATATGACCAGCGGGACACTGCCCCCTCGGGCGGTGGTTACAACGGTGGAGGATACGGTGGAAACAACCGCTACGGAGGAGCTGTAGGCCGTGACAGCTATGGTGGTGAGCAAAATCTGCATTTCAAAGACAGCCTCGAAAGCATCCTAACAGCCTGACCAGGCCAAAACGTCGAACTGGAGCCCCTGGCCCAGAACGGCCAGCAATTCGGCCGCCAACAGGACCCCAACGCCATCCTGAACGAGTGCCGCGAGATCGACAAAGGCATCGACGGCATCGAGCGCAACCTGGACACGATCCGCATGCTGCAGCAGCGCGCGCTCGACGACCCCGATTCCAGCCAGCAGAGCGCGACCAACAGCCAGCTGGACGAGATGAGCAGCGAGACGATGACCATGTACCGCAGCTTCGCGGCGCGCATCAAGTCGCTGAAGCAGCAGCCCGAGTCCGGCAGCCCCAAGAACGCGCCGCAGCTCGGCAAGGTGGACCGCAAGCTCAAGGCCGCCATTAACCAGTACCAGAACGTCGAGAGCGACTTTCGCAAGAAGCTGCAGGCGCAGATGGCCCGCCAGTACAAGATTGTCCGCCCGGATGCGTCCGAGGCCGAGGTGCGCGAGGCGGTCGAGGATACGTCTAACCAGCAGGTCTTCAGCCAGGCCCTGCTCCAGAGCGATCGCCGCGGGCAGTCGCGCCAGGCGCTCAGCAACGTGCAGAACCGCCACGCGGCGATCCAGAAGATCGAGTCGCAGATGATTGAGCTGGCGCAGCTGTTCCAGGACATGGAGGCGTTGGTGGTGCAGCAGGAGGACTCTGTCACGCTGATTGAGCAGAAGGGCGAGGAGGTGCAGGAGAACCTCGATAAGGGGACCGAGCACATTGGCACGGCCATCAAGAGCGCGCGCGCGCGTAACCGCAAGAAGTGGTACTGCCTCGGCATCGTCCGTACGTATTATCCAAACTACCCCCCCACTATGTGTGAAGACAGCTTTAATACTAACCCCCCACACAGTCATCATCATCATCATCATCGTCGTTGCCGTCGTCGTCACCCAAGTCATCAACAAGCCCCCCGCATCCAACAACAACAACAACAACAATGCCAAGCGCGACGTCCTCTACAACATCCACGGCCACGCCGTCCCCCGCCCCGGCTCCACCGTCGGCTCCTCCATCGAATCCCTCGTCGCCTCCCTCTCAAAAGAAACAATCCAGAAGGCAGCCAACGCAGCCGAAAAGAGGGGCCTGACGTGGGTGGGTTGAGTACCACCCCCCCCCCCGTCTGCCCGACCTGAGCCAGAGAGAGAGAGCCATGCACACACACACTGTACAGCGCGTTTGATTCCCGGCCCCCCCGCACTTCGTTTCGCATACTACTCGGCGTTCAATTTTTTTTGTTTGTTTGGAACTACGCTCCCTACTGTTCCCCTGTCCCTATCCCGGGAGAAATAGGGGAAGGGGTGGCCTACCTTTTCTCTGACCCGGGAGGAGTGGGGGGGAGGAGAAGGATTCCCTTTGTTTTGTTCTCTTAGTTGTACTACTGTACGGATACCAACCAACCCAGCCCCCCCAATTTTTTTCCTTTAAAACACCCCTGTCGATGGCCTTTTTATTGCTTTCCTCTTCTTGACTGGAAAAACGCGGGGATGGTTTTGCATTTTGGAAATTCCTGGGTCTCTCTCTTCCCTCCGTCTCCGTGTTGTTGGGGGAGAGGGAATTGGGAGATGGAGAGGGAGGGAGGGATGCAAGAACTGCTTTTTCAGGGAGGTTGTTATATATAGGTTCTTCAAAATTATTACGGTATTAATTTGGCACTGGGGTTTGGGTGTATGTGATGTATACGATGTGATCTGATGTGATGCGATGCATGTGGTGAACTCTTTCTGTATTGCGGGTGCCTGATTTGGCATGGCTAGTTTTCTATGGGAGAGCGCCGTCTGTCTTATATGCCCTGCAGGACGTGGTATAACCCCCCCATCCATTATGCGCCCGCGATGCCAAACAACCCGCTCCTTGACTCCAAAACATAACCATCCCTCACTCTCCCTGTCCATCCTTCTCTCCCTCGCCGTCAACCTCCCCCTCATGCTCATGTTCATGCTCACCCTCCCCCCCATCCTCACCCCCATCCTCCCCCTCCTCCACCCCAAGCGCATCCCTCCCCGTCTCCACCACCGTCCTCAACACCCTCATCTTCCTCTCAAACTCCTCCACCAGAACCTGGAAATCCTCCGCCCTCACCTCCCCCCCCTCCCTCCACACCCCCCTAACCCTCTCCCTCATCCTCTCATCCCTCCCCTTGACCCCCTCAAGCCTAAGCATAAACCGCGCCGCCGCCCCGTCCTCCTCGCTGTTATCAGCAGCCGTAGGCCCAGACTCCCACGTCGGCGCCTTCGTCACGCTCGCCGACAGGACCTGCCAGGATGAGGAGAGCGAGTGCGCGGCTGCCACGGCGGTGCCGGTGGCGTCGAGGTCGACGATGATGGTGCGGTGTTCGGGTTCGCGGGTGTCTCGGGCTGATGGGCGCTGGGAGGAGGAGGTAATGGAGGAGGAGGAGTGCATGATGTGGGAGCTTGATTGCGGGGAGGGCTCGCCGGAGATGGCGGCCAGGAAGTCGTCTGTGAGGTCCTGGTCGTCGTCGTCGGAGAAGATGTAGCGCACGTTTATTGGGTGGTGGGTGCTTGAGGTTGAGGCGTCGTCGATGAGGGTGAAGAAGGGTGAGAATGGTGGGCGGGCGGGCATTGTTTCGAAAGCTTGTTGTGCTTCTTGAGCTTGTGAGGGTTCTAGAGATGCGTACGGGAGGCGAGGGGAGGCGATGGAGCTGGGGCGGGTGATGGTGGTGGTGCTTCCTGGAGGGTCTTTCCCCGTTGGCAGTGATTGTGATGTGGATGGTGACATTGTGGTGTTTGGAAGGGATTAGTTGAGGTGATGGGCGAGGCTGGAGCTTTCCATCAGGCACGACGTTTGATGTCAAGGAGCTCCGGCTGGGCCTCGTGGTTGAGGCGCCACAATATACCTCTTATCTCCACGTGATCACGCGTTCTCTGGGCGCGGTGGTGGGCTGGCATCAAACTGTGGGAGAGGGGAATGAATGATTTTGAGTATCATATGCCGTGGTATAAAGCGCCTTGAGGTCAGAAAGAAGATGATAGCTCCTCGCTGAATCCTGTCCGGATGCTCCTTCAACGCCTTGAAAACAATATTTCCCTCCACAACCTGCGCCCGCCTTGTTACAGTTCTGGTTTCATGCCTCGTAAAGTCGGACAGCAGCAGTTATGCTGCAGCAGTGTTTGTTTCCTCTTGGTCATCGGTTGCGATGGTTTCAGTCCATTCGAATTCTGTAAAGTGAGAATGTTAGGGCTGTTTTGCCAGTTAGGTGAAACGCCCGAACACTTACTCTGTCTACACATTGGACACTGGCCCTTCGAAGATTCCTGCTTGATCCATTCGACAATGCAATGCTACCGACAGATTAGCAACCGTTATGTGCTTCTTAGAGACTGATTGTCTCTCACCATGTGGAAGTTGTGGCCGCATTTCCCAGACACTGGGGAGTATAGATCAGCAAGCAAACACGGCATTTGGGGCATTTAGCTATGTTATAGAGGCCTCACATAAGCTGCAATCATCTCCAGGGTATTTGCAGGTCGGACAGGTGCCGTCGAAATGGACTTGGCAAATACCGCAGACATCGTCTTCTGGGATATCCCACCTCCATGTCGCGATCGCATTCCATTTTCTGATTGTGACCTTCATATTGGAGTTGGCTGTGACAGTGTACAATAAAGATTCAACACTTCTGGGTCTGTTTTGAGGTCTCTTTGTTGTCGTGGTATGTTATGCCATATATGCGTTGGAAGTTGTCAATCACAAAGCTGTTTA